GGGGGGGGGGGGGGGGGGGGGGGGGGGGGGGGGGGGGGGGGGGCTCGTCACAGAGGAAACACAGAGCGGAACAGCTTTGATATGGGAGTTAACAATGGCCAGTCAGCTTCCGCTTGTTTTCAGTTCATGTCGGATTATGATTAAACTTATCACAATCGTCTTTTAGATTCATGCGTAAGGGTTACGACTAGGGTTAGTGTTCGGTTTAGGGTTTAGGGCGCTTCAAACAGGACCATTAAATGCCAAAAGGCCCTCGACATATCACGCAGTATTTGTACTGGATGATAAACGTATAATCCCTCTTTGTTGATGCACTCCAACAGCCATTGGCTGTTTATAGAATCTACAGTCTCTCCACAGGAGGAAAAGTAAGGAGGAAATTGACCCATATACAATTCTTCCAACATCCTCCTCCTTGTCCTACCTACCTACTTAACCAAACATCACCTCTTTCCTTCCTCCACTCTTTGTGTTCATCTGCATTTTTGTGTGATCAGTGGAGGCTCCTCCTTTAAATTCATATTGCTGCATGACCCCGAATGAGTTCAGATCTTCATCAGATGGAAGTCCCGCCGTATATCAGGGACATGTTTTAGGGAACAGTTTCACTTTTACCTCATGACAAGCATATTTAGCTGTCAGCCAAGTGATCATAATCTATATGAAGACAATCTTCCCAGTTTATTTGAAAGGAAAGTGATCGATAGTTACAGGACATAGGATAAAGTTCAACTGTCGAGTTTCCCCCCCGTAAGACTGTTTGGTTGTTGTTTTACGCTTTACAAAATAATCGGTAAGGTTAGGACAAGTTTTCTTATTATAGGGGGGCAAAATCCTGGCTTTAATTAGATTAAAAACTGTGACAAATGTATTGATTTCTTGGATTGCCTGCCATCAAGGCCTACCACCACAGCTTAACAGGCAAGACATGTTGGATTGTTTTTTTCCGGATGTCTCAATAGTAAAATAACCGACTTACACACTTAGGAAGTTTTAATGTTTCCTTGTCTTTCTGTTAGACTATGCTGAAGAGTCTATTTTTAGAACACATATGGAACACTTGATGTACAGCCATAATGTTTAACTATAATGAAAAGCTGTAGAAGCGCTGTACATAAGTAAATGCTACTTTCCATCAGGTAAAAGTCTGCTGATCTTCACATCTTCTGTTGTTTGCTTAAAGTGTCCATGTGACATGTGAACCCACATGTGCCCCCCAGTGTCCCAGGCCTCAGTATTCGGAAGCCTCTCTTCTTTGTCTTTGTCCTACCCAGGCACGCTCTCTGCTGCACATCTTATTTCCAGCTAGCTGGACAGTGATCCCCTCTGCAGTTGTTACCCCCCCCCCCCCTCCTTCCCCCCCCCCCTATTTTTCCCCACAACATCCCCCCCCTTGCCCCCCCGCCCCTCTATTTGTGACGTTTTCCATCCAATGAGGGGTGAGAGCATGTTGAGCAAGCACCAATGAGGCCACCTTTTCATGTGTATAAAACTTTTCAGGACAGTTTGCCGGGTTGCACTTTCTGTCATCCCAGGGCTCCGAGAGGAGAGCAGCTGCCAAGAGAGAGCGCTAGCGCCAACGCAGGGGGGGGTCGCCAGTTTTTAAGCCCAGTCCCACACTTCAAGAAAGTGGTGGGTGCTTTAATTTGATTCTGGTTGTAAAACACGCTCAGATTGATGTGAGTGTGTCTGTGTTTTTTTTCTCTGTCCCTCACCCCTGAAGCTTCTCCGTTTCAGCGAGGATGGATAGCGCGCACATCAAAGAGTCGCCCGATGTTCTGGCCTACTTTGGTGTCACTGAGGAAGTTGGCCTGTCTCCCGACCAGGTGAAGAAGAACCTGGAAAGATATGGCTACAACGGTGAGGGAGAGAAAGGGATGGATGGAATGGATGGAGCACTGAAGAGTGGAAAGAGAGAGTTGTGACAAATGGTGCAAATGATTAAGGCCCATGTATCCTTACATGGGATTTAGATTTTCATTTTAATGAGTGAGGCACAGATTCTAAAGGAGGTACAAGAGGGATGAAGATGGAGGAGTGAGAGGATTTAACGACAGATGATTTTGCAGTGTGCATGACAATGGGGAAATTAGGTTTATGGAACAGGTGCATTATGGAGTCAGCTTTCTGACGCCTGCTACTGGTTCTAGGTGAAGGATAATCAGTTTACTTTAGAAGCTGAGTGAACCTGAGTTTAAAAAAAAACCTGTAAATGGAAACTGTCTGCAGAGCGAGCCTCTATATGGAACATTGGAAATAAAACCTAATCTTGTGGTTGTTAAATGCATTTCAATGCAACTAGAGAAAATATCCCTGCATGCCTCTAAATGAGCTTGTTAGAGAGTCATAGCCCCTTCAAGCTTCTTATTGACTCATTGTTGCATCAAATCATGTCAAATGTTAAAATGCTGTAAATGAATGACACACTGTGTCTTTCTGTCTCTCACCAACAGAGCTGCCAGCAGAGGAAGGTGAGTCCATCATAAAAAACATACACTTGCTTTTCAGTTTTTTCCATCTTTTTTCCATCTTTTAATACTATGCCAACCAAACATGTCTGTTCCCCTCACCTCCTGTGATGGCAAATACTGATGTATAACATCACTGGATTCTTGCTGTTCTAAATTGATGTGCAGCAGACACACACCACAAATTTCTCAATCCATGTCTGATGCATACCCATTTTTAACTCTTTTAAAGTGCATACAGACCAATTAATAATTGACTTGTGAATTAGTCTATAAGATAATGCAGTTATTGTTATTCAGAATTTTTTTCCATGATAAATATCTGACATCTGTTTTTCTCATCAGGGAAGAGTATCTGGGAGCTTGTGGGGGAGCAGTTTGAGGACCTCTTGGTCAGAATCCTGCTGTTAGCTGCGTGCATCTCCTTTGTGAGTTTTGCCACATTTTTCTTTGATGTGATTCAACACACATGCATGTGGAAGACAATGTGACAGAAAAAACGAGTTCTGATTTTGCTAAAGGTGGTACATAATGCTTTGTCATATTTTACATCTAACTTGAAGTTGAATAAATCAGGGAAACAATTAAAAGGGAAAAGCAAACACAAAACCAAAGTACTGGCACATAAACTGAATTATCAGCCAAATATAGAGATTTGTATGTTATTTCTGATTCAATTAGCCGTTTTACAAGAAAAGCTGCAAAAAGAACTTTCGCTAAAACTCATATGATGGTGTCAGCATCCAACCTTGTCGTTTATGTGGTATTATCGGTAATGGTTCATGGCAGAGTGATGCTGTGGATAGTTCGGATGAAGGATGACGCCAACCAAACAGAAACAAGATGTACCATCACAGAGCTTATGTTCAGTAACAGGATAAAAACCAATGCTACGGGTCACAGTGCTGAGCCCCCACCTGTTATCTTTGTAATTAAACATAAATACACACGCACTCTCAGCCTGCCAAACACAGAGGGTTCATCGCTGACATATTAAATGAATTTTCGGCCCATTCTCGGTTACTCAAGGAATCCCTCACCATGTCACTTCTGCTCTCTAAACAAGAGTTCTATGAGGCAGAGGAGGTTGCTCACATTGTTTTATTCCTCATTTTCTGCCTTCTGGCCTCCCTGAGCAGCTGTTACCACGGCTTCAGAAGGCCTGGTGGCAGTGTGTGGAGGTAAAAGACACAGCCAGAATAAGAGAAAGACAGAAAGTGAGCAACAGAGTGTGTCTGCACATGCATGTGCACAGCAGTTGCTTTATTTTAGGAGAGTCTCAACCCGGGACGGGAAACTGTATCCTTGGACAAAGGTCAAGGATGGAAGGAACGAGGGATGGCTTGTAGCGGTAGGGGAGATGTGGAGGGGGCGTCGGGGGATTGGGTTGCACAATGGCATTGTTTGTTGCAATGACAAACGAGAGCAATAGTTTCAGAGTCGTATAGGGTTTCTAAAAAGAGAGAACACTAAATACTAGAGATGCATGCTCATCATATTCATACACACAGGAATGTCCTGTCACTGCAGCGCGCTGACAGCCTCTGACTCCTGTTCTGGAGATCGATTGAGTCTTTGAAGAGAAGCAGTGTGAAGACAGATTGGAGAGACAGAAAGAGACAGATAGAGAAAGAGAAAGCCTTATGCTAAAAGACGGAAAAAGTTGGCAAGGGATTCTGAATGAAGAGCAGGCGAACAAGAAACCAGGAGGGAAATTATGCAGAGTAAAAAAAGAAAAAGTTTAAAGAAAAAGATGGAGGGACTTGACTCTTTTCTCCTCAGTGAGCACTGCGTGCTCCACTGGCCCGCAACTAATCTGTGTCAATGTCAACAGGGAGCTTTTCCGAAACAAACCTGGCTTAACAACACCGGGGCTCCACACGTGTTTTACTGCAGGTTCGGAGACGAGTCACATGTAATGTAGAGGAGAGATCGGACACACAGGATGACACAAGACACAAGAGCAACAAAGTGAAATGTAATTGGAGCCGCACATGGATCAGAGCTGTCAGAAATAGCTGCTTGTAGTGAGAAATGTATGTTTCATGCTAGTCAGCAATAAAAGATAATACGGTCACCCTGAGCAACAGGTGCAAACTCACTTCAAGAAGTTTAGCAATGATACGTTGTTTTAATATTTTTATGACGATAGGTTATTGCAAAGGGGCTGTAGGGCATGACCCTACAGCCAGAAAAGTCAGCCTTATCCTCAAAGGCTTACTTTAGTTTAGATGTCAAGGCCACATATCACAAAGTTTCCCAGTCAACAGTGTAAAGTGTCAGAAGATGCTTTAATGTTGTCTTATGGTGGGAGAAACCTTTTTCTCCCCATACAAAACTATTTAAAAAGGAGGTAAGGAAAGTTCAGAGTTAAAAAACTTTGACTTTGATCTTGACTTTGGTTTCACACAGAATCCATCAAATCAGTTCATGGTCATGATCACTTGTTAAGTACAAAAAGCTGAGAACCTGTGTGTGTTTTGCACTTTCTCTTTTATTCTCTTTCTTTTCTCTTTCTTTTTTTCTCCTTGCCAGACACTGGGCGTCTGTCCACTCACACTGTGGCGGGCATTATCTTACGCAGCTTGCTGTTTCTCTGTGTCTCAGGTGCTGGCTTGGTTCGAGGAAGGTGAAGAAACCGTCACCGCCTTCGTGGAGCCCTTCGTCATCCTCCTCATCCTCATCGCAAATGCTGTCGTTGGGGTGTGGCAGGTCAGTGAGCGAGCGGCAGAGGCGCGCGCACGTGCACACACGGGAACAATTGCAGCCACAAGGACACATACCTGCCCCTCCGTGCTGTCTTTTACACACACCTAAATAGACTCTCAAACTTAGAAACAGTCACGCGCTATAAATCACACACATCAGCAGGCTGCGCAGGCCATGCGTCCTTGGTGAAGAGTGCATGCTCCTTCTGGAGCTGTGGCTGGGACTTCAAAGTTCAAGGGACAGGAGCCCTGAGAGAGCCGTGTGCTTCGTTAAAAGTCCACACTGTGCAATCCACTGTAAAAATACAGAGGAGGCCGATCACATTACCACAGGCCTGAGGCCGTGTTTGTGTGTCCGTCGGGGGCTAAGGGAGTTCATATCAACCCTGTGGCAGTCATTTGGAAACTATGCACAAGGATTCACACATACAGAGTATGGGGGAGAATGGAGAGAGGGAGGGCAGCTGGCATAAGTCGGACTTTACACTTTGGGGTGGCCGGGGGGTTAGTGTCATAAGAAAACCACAGAACGAGCGGAACATCATTGTGTGTGACTTTTTTGACTGAGAAGGGCTGTGGTTGTTTTTCTTTTTGTCTCTGAGAGTGGTGATGATTGTCTGTATGTTAAACTACTTTTTTTAAGCTAAATCGAACAGGCCTATGAACTCTTCTATCAGCTCCTTTGCTCTCGTTCTCGTTTATCATCAAGAAAGATTTCCGTCAGAAATGTTTGACAGGAAAGAGCAATAAGCCCATTTATAGAGGCTAATGGTCCTCAAAGAGGTGAGCTTAATTTATAGTCCTGATATGCGCCCCCTCTCGCTCCTCATTTTCCTGTCTGAGGTGCCTTTCTATGAGCATAATTAACAGTTTATTGCCATACATTAAAGGCCTATTGCATTTATATAGTAAAAAATTATTTAAAAAAAAAACTTGAATGTAGAACATTTCCTATTTTTGCATTCCATGGAAAAATGTGTAGAAAATATTGACCAAGTTTGTTTTTTAAATGTATAAATTACACTTGTTTATTTATTTAGCTATTTGCATTTTTATAAAGAAACAAACTTTTCTTGGGTAAAGTACTATTTTAGCTGAACTTGCAGCATGTCAACTACTTCTGAGGATATCACTCTCCTGCATTTTAAATGCTTTTTAGTACGTCAAAAAAACTTTTTCCTCTATCACTGACTGACGTGATCTCAAATGAGGGGAGAGCTCTGATGAAATATGATGAATTAGCTCTAGATTTACATTCAGGGGCTGAATGCCACAGTGCAGATAGATGAAGTCTAATGATCACGAGCTGATGGCTTGTGGAGGGATGATATTAGCAGGTAATAGAGGGATCAAATTGTTGTGCATTTCTCTGCTTCAGGAGCGCAATGCAGAGAGTGCCATTGAGGCCCTGAAGGAGTATGAGCCCGAGATGGGGAAGGTTTATCGGGCCGACAGGAAGAGTGTGCAGAGAATCAAGGCCAGGGAGATCGTTCCTGGTGATGTGGTGGAGGTCTCTGGTAAGATGCTTGTCTAATGGAAAGTTTTTGTTCAACTGTATTTCTCTGAAGTCCATTAATCTGAAAACCAAATCATGGCTCTAACAAATGTCTGAGGCACAACCCTCATCCTGTTAAAAATCTTTATCTCATCTGACCGTAAAACTCTTCGTACACCACTGTATTGATGCACAATCTATAGTTAATGAGCAATTTCCTCACGCAAAGGCAGCTTGGCAAAGTATAAGCGTAACAAGGTTGTGGACATTGTGGTTTACTTGATAAGGAAGTTAAGCAGAAGCCAGTATCAGAAAATGTCTTGAACTTTGATCACTTTAACTTGGGTATGTAGGCATGTAATGCTCAGGTTGACCGATGGATTTTGTACAGTTTAATGATGTCAGGGACAAAAGTGCTGCAAAATCATTGCTGCAGCTTCTCCACAACTTTATAAGTGTTAACAAAGTTATAGTAAAGCCATTCTATAAGAATTATTTCTGATACTTCTCTGCTTTTGCACGACAAACCTGTAACTTGTATTCAGTTACCTCTTGACTTTCTGTGTCATCCAATATTGGGAATTGGTAGAAAGTTGGAACCTCCTGGAAAACAAAACAGAGAAAACAAAAATCAATGAAAAATAATTAAAAAACAACAAGGGATTCTGAACAGTGGATCATGCATGATCAAGTCAGTGGAGACCAAAGGGAGGCTTTTTGCCAGTAGGTGACCTCCCCGGCTACTGGATTTAAACTTTAACAAATACAGATCTTTGAAAGGATAAAGCCCTTTTGCAAGTGTGACTTTTACCTACAGAAATCGGTAGGCGCCTCACCACATCTGTTCAGTTATTGTTACTTGCACGTGATTGAGTGTGTGGTTATGTCCATCCAATTTAGCACGGGCCTTTTAAGGCAGTCTCAGAGGAAAAGGGGTGGGGAGGGAACTTTCTGGGAAAGAGAAAAAAAACAAAAAAGAACCGTGCTGGAGTGTGAATGCACTTGATATTGACTTAGTCCTCTGTCTCTCCCTGTCCACCTGTTCTTTTCATTTCATGATCTCCCCAAGGTCTCCCTCTCCCTCTGACTCTTACTGTGGTATCAGTTTTCAACAACAACACTGTCCATCCAGAGAGCTAAAACCAGTCAATCAGCCCTGCGCCCTTTCCCCTCCATCCTGTTGTAATGCCGCTTGTCACATTGTTAAGATTCTCTGAACTGTAAAGCAACAAAGGAAAAGATTTCCTCCGATGGAGCTCCTTCGTTCCCGTTGTTGTAAAAGTATTGATAACGTGCCTTTTTTTTGCTTTTTCTCTGCGTGTTACTGTCTGGACACAAGTTGGTGACAAAGTGCCAGCTGACATCAGGATCATCTCCATCAAGTCCACAACGCTCCGGGTGGACCAGTCCATTCTTACTGGTGCGTCACAGACAGGAAGCAAAAGATGTCCAGGTGTTCTGAATGTCCTGTATGTTCCCTGACCACTTCACTTGTGTCCACAGGTGAGTCTGTCAGTGTGATCAAGCACACCGATGCTGTCCCTGACCCCCGAGCTGTCAACCAGGACAAGAAGAACATGCTGTTTTCTGTGAGTCTTTTTTTCCTGCCTCCCTCTTCTTATCTGCACCCTCTTGGCATTTATATTTCTATCAAAAAAGACAAACCCACTCACTGATTCCCTAGCCTCTGCTGTAATGGCTATGAGGCGTTTTATATACCATAGCCAGAAAAATGACACACCACAGTAGAAAAACTTTGTGGGGACTTTTGCAAATTCAGGTGAAGCCTCACAGAATCATCAGCTAGATTATGGGTGGTATGATTTAGATCTGTATTGTTGCTGTGAGGGTAGCTCAATTTTTTTAGTCTGCGCTGGTTAATGAGCTTTCTAATCGTCTCTCCCTCTTTTCTGATACTCTCCATTAGGGCACCAACATTGCTGCTGGTAAAGCCACTGGCATTGCTGTTGCAACTGGTGTCTCAACTGAGATCGGTAAGATCCGTGACCAGATGGCAGCCACCGAGCAGGAGAAGACCCCTCTGCAGCAGAAACTGGACGAGTTTGGGGAACAGCTCTCCAAGGTGAGCGATGCATTTAGTGTCTCTGAATCTAAGAGTCAGTTTTATTCATTCATTCATTCATTGTCAAAAAAATCTGGAAAAGGACAAACACTTTTTCTTAATTTCCCCTTTGCCAAAATCCAACCGCATTATCTTTAAGACAGGTTTGATTTTTCATTCAAAATGTCTATGATCTAAGACAATGACTAACATCTGGCATATGCTATTAACTGCCACCCCTCCAGGTCATCTCCCTCATTTGTGTGGCAGTGTGGATAATCAACATTGGCCATTTCAATGACCCCGTCCATGGGGGTTCCTGGTTCCGTGGTGCCATCTACTATTTCAAAATTGCAGTGGCTTTGGCTGTGGCTGCCATCCCTGAAGGTAAGCTGCAGGGATCAACTTATGTTTGATTAGCCAAGATGGTTATTGTATGTAATACTCCAGGAGTCGCTTCGGTTTGGTCTAAAGCCATTCATTTTGAAGAGACAGTTGGCAGCAGTGTTTCAAAGACAGGCCCACATTAGTTGGAAAAAGTAGATACACTGAAATTCCTCAGAGTCAAATATGCTTCTCACTACAACTGCTTTCTAAACTTTTGGTTCAGTTTAAATAAAGCTTCAACCCTGTATGACCTATGATGACCGAAGGGCCATTGTTTTCTCTGTGTGTCACTGGACCCATCTGTGATTTTTCATTTGAAATACAATACATTTAACTAATATGGTGTCTATCAGTGAGAATCTTAATCTTTCACTGAATCGAAAGAATTCAAGAATTTACAGGCTGTCAGAAGAATCTATTGACGTATTAGCCATTCAATGGATGCATTTTCTGGGACTAAAGTGTTGGCTGACACCTTGAACCGTCACACTGAGGTCAGCTGTAAACTGTGTCAACAGCCATCATGTGATCACAGCATGATGATGCCAAAAGGACATCATCTGCAAATGCAGATGCCACGACAAAGCCGTTGAATTGGATGCTCTCCACATCTTCTACATACCAGTGTGGGCATTGCTTTTTGCCAAGAATCTGTGAACAGATCTCAGTCCAGACACAAGAGGACTGAATGTCTTTCAGTGGCCTGTCCTGTAGGAATGTCTTTGGAGAGCAGGGCGATCTGGGTGTACTTACACTGGTTTGATGAGGACTATGGATTGACCACTGTTATAGACAGCCTTATGTTCAGATGGCTTTGAAAAGAAGGCCTTTTCTCTATTGCATTTAATATAATTCTGTCACTTTGTGCATCACAGGCCTTCCCGCTGTTATCACCACATGCTTGGCATTGGGAACTCGTCGCATGGCCAAGAAGAACGCCATCGTAAGAAGCCTGCCCTCTGTGGAGACTCTGGGCTGTACATCTGTCATCTGCTCTGACAAGACTGGTACTCTCACCACCAATCAGATGTGTGTGACCAAGGTGTGTTCACTCCGACAACTACTTAAAAAAACTGACTTTAAAGCTTACCAGTGACAGAATAGTGATCCAGTCATGTCTGTAAATGGGAATTTTTTGTATCTTTTCGTTCAGATGTTCATCATTGACAAAGTCGATGGAGACAGCGTTAGTCTTGGCCAGTTTGACATTTCAGGCTCAAAGTACACCCCTGAAGGAGAAGTGTAAGTAAAAAAAATGGATAGAATGTTAACAGAAATTGCACCATCTGATCACTAACCAACAAACTGAACTAAGATTTATTTTTCCTATTTTTTCAAACTTTTTCTACTAGTACAAGGAATGGTTCCCTTGTGAAATGTGGACAGTTTGATGGTTTAGTGGAGCTGGCAACCATCTGCGCTTTGTGCAATGACTCATCCCTCGACTACAACGAGGTCTTAAAAGCACCCAGGACTTCTATTTATGCATACTACATATTCATATGACACCAATCAATTTAAGGCCCCCTTAAAATGTCAATCTTGGTTAATTCTCTCTGTCTAAACTCAGTCCAAAGGTATTTATGAGAAAGTGGGAGAGGCCACTGAGACAGCCCTGAGCTGTTTGGTGGAGAAGATGAACGTTTTCAACACTGAAGTGCGTGGTTTGTCCAAGGTGGAGAGGGCAAACGCTTGTTGTTCTGTAAGTTCACAAAGACCTAATGCAACATACATTGCATTTGTGTTCAAAATCTAGTCTATAAGGAAATATGAAAAGTTTTAGTTGTAATTGCCATCGCTCCATTACTGTCTGGCGGCAAGGGGAACATCCATCATGGCAAACACAATGAATGAAAGTACCAGCAGCTAAATTCAACAATAAAAGGCGGTCTCTTAATCCCATTATTTAGATACAAATTTGAGGCTGCCTCTCCAGCTCACCTCCTGTCTCTTTTCGCTGTCCAACAGGTCATCAAGCAACTGATGCGAAAGGAGTTTACCCTAGAGTTCTCCAGAGACAGAAAGTCCATGTCAGTGTTCTGCTCACCTGCCAAGTCAGCCAAAGCTCCAGTTGGGAATAAGATGTTTGTCAAAGTGAGTGTGTGGGGCAGGATTTTAACATGTTTATGTTTATATTTATGCACTTAGCAGACGCTTTTATCCAAAGCGACTTACAAAGTAGACACAATTTTACAGTTATCCTCAATATGACAATAAGTTCTGTTTTTTCCATGTCATCAGGGTGCTCCAGAAGGTGTCATTGATCGCTGTGCTTACGTTCGTGTGGGAACAAACCGTGTACCGCTGACTGGTCCAGTCAAAGACAACATCATGTCCGTGATCAAGGAGTGGGGCACTGGGCGTGACACCCTCCGCTGTTTGGCACTTGCCACCCGCGACACACCTCTGAGGAAGGAAGAAATGATCCTCGAGGACTCCACCAAGTTTGCAGACTATGAGGTGGGTCAGTTTGGACCTACAGGGAGGGTTACACACAACATGATCTTATATAGATAAACATATGTGAAACTAGCTCATTTTCCTCTTTTTCTCTTCCGTTTCCAGACCGACTTGACCTTTGTGGGCTGCGTTGGTATGCTCGACCCTCCTCGCAAGGAAGTCTCTGGTTCCATTGAGTTGTGCAGGGCCGCCGGCATCCGTGTCATCATGATCACTGGTCAGTCATGTTACACTCGTCATCTCAATCTTAATTGTGAAGAGATTTAACAGGCAATATAACTTCTTCCTTTCTGCCCCTTCCTTCCAGGTGACAACAAAGGCACAGCTGTGGCCATTTGCCGTCGCATCGGCATCTTCACTGAAGATGAGGATGTCACTGGCAAAGCCTATACGGGCCGTGAGTTTGACGACCTCGCTCCTTACGAGCAGAAGACTGCTGTCCGAAAGGCTTGCTGCTTTGCCAGGGTGGAGCCTTCCCACAAGTCAAAGATTGTCGAGTTCTTGCAGGGCTTTGATGAGATTACGGCCATGGTGAGGAGAACTTCTGTTGATTCAATTCGATTTGGAAAACTAAGAGTGGTGCAACTTCTCAGACATGTCAAACTTTCATACCCTGAAAGATTTTTATTTTCCCGTTTCCTTCATCCCTTCACCAAGACCGGGGATGGAGTGAACGATGCCCCTGCCTTGAAAAAGGCGGAGATTGGCATCGCCATGGGCTCTGGCACTGCCGTTGCCAAGTCTGCCTCTGAGATGGTCCTGGCTGACGACAACTTCTCTTCCATTGTGTCTGCTGTTGAAGAGGGCAGAGCCATTTACAACAACATGAAGCAGTTCATCCGCTACCTCATCTCCTCCAACGTGGGCGAGGTCGTCTGGTGAGCACATTACTCTGCACATTGTTGAAATGACCCTAAAGATATACATCTTGTTCTCATAAGTCCTGAGCTCACAGCTATGAAACTCTATTTTCTTTCTCTTTCAGTATCTTCTTGACCGCTGCTCTGGGTCTTCCTGAGGCTTTGATCCCAGTCCAGCTTCTCTGGGTTAACCTCGTAACTGATGGTTTGCCTGCCACCGCACTGGGCTTTAACCCTCCTGACCTGGACATCATGGGCAAAGCCCCCCGTTCTCCCAAAGAGCCCCTGATCTCTGGCTGGCTCTTCTTCCGATATCTGGCCATTGGAAGTGGGTCCTTACCCTCTCTTTAGTCTCAGAAAAACATTCTAGATCCATGTAGTCCAGTATATCATCGACTTTATCGATAATGTTCATTATTTTGTCCAACAAAATGGTGTTAAATTCAAACATCTGTCAGAGCAGAGTTTTACTGTACATTTGTGGTGTTTTTGGGGGGAAACATCTGTTTTAACACAGTAACAACTCTTCCAGGTTATGTCGGTGCTGCCACCGTTGCTGCTGCTGCCTGGTGGTTCCTGTACTGCGATGAGGGCCCAATGGTCTCCTTCTACCAGCTGGTAACAAATCACACAAAAAGAAATCAAGAGAGCTCCATTCACCCAAGCTCCATGGCTCAAGCATTAGGAATAATGTTCATGTCTTCCCTGCAGTCTCACTTCATGCAGTGCAGCGAAGACAATGAGGACTTCTCTGGAATCCGCTGTGATGTGTTCGAGGCAGCCCCTCCAATGACCATGGCTCTGTCCGTGCTGGTAACCATCGAGATGTGCAACGCTCTCAACAGGTAGGAACACACTTTAATGGAAGCACAACGCTGTCAGCTTATGAATGCAGGTTGTTGTAGGGACAGCCATAGAGGTCTACTTGAGGATTTTCATTAACAAACTCCCCCACCTTCCCATCCATCATTCCTCCTCCTTCTCAGCTTGTCTGAGAACCAGTCCCTGGTTCGTATGCCCCCCTGGAGCAATGGCTGGCTGATGGGCGCCATGAGCCTCTCCATGTCCCTTCACTTCATGATCATCTACGTCGACCCCCTGCCTGTGAGTCTGGCTTCCACTCTTCCTCCATGTAGCTCACACATCGCACCCCAGCTCTCCATCCTGCATGTTCACTCATACATTTTCACACACATGCTAAACTTGTGCGCATTGCAATCATATCAGCTTTAGTAGCATCACAACCTGTTCAATTAAATGTTTTTTAAAAGGAATTTGTGTATCCAAAGCCATCCTTTTAACATCCTGCTGCTCTCATCCACAGATGATTTTCAAGCTCACTCATTTGAACGTGGAGCAGTGGCTGATGGTGCTGAAACTTTCCTTGCCCGTCATCTTCCTGGATGAGCTTCTTAAATTTGTCGCTAGGACGTATCTTGAGGGTAAAGATTGACCTGTTTTATTTTCTATAGCTGTTTAAAATGATTAAAGTTACAAATTATTTCCCTCCCTAATTAAATGTACTTAAACAACTTTACCCTTTAACCTCTCCCTATGTCTTTTTTAAAGAAAGAATTCATGATACAGTTTTAATCATGTCTCACCCTCTTTTTCCTCTAATCTTCTGAGTCGGATGACTTTGATCTAATTTTCCTGTCCTCGGATAATCTTCTTCACTGTTCCCTTTTTGACAATCCAGCCTAAACCTGTATTCCCTCCTCCGTACCCCTTTAACAAAACAAGGTATTCCCCTGACTCAAGCTAAAGGTCTCGTCTGCATCATGCTCATGTTGATAAAAACAAGTGTACTAATCTGTCTGATCCCAGAGAGTAAGTGTGATCTTCTCAGCAGCAAGTAGAAATTTAATAACTGCTTGCAGCATCACATGAAGAACTGCATGCTTACTGTTTACTTCTAGAATTGAGGGAATTTATTTTCTTGTTTGTTGCTAGAGGTGCCTGTCAGACAAAAGCAGAGGCAGTAAAATAATTTAGAAATCTTCAGCGTGCTCTTGCTGCTTTGATTTTGGTTTTACAGTAATCACACTAATACAAGTTACAAACAATGCACAGCCAGGATATTCTTGCTGCTCTTGAGAACTAATATCTAACCTTAAAATTTTTTATTTTGTTTGTTTTTTTTTAGTTGTGCTGATGAGATATCCACCCTTTTTCTTTTGTGACAACTGCTGAGCATATCAACATAACAAATAGGTAGTTGGACGTTTTGGGAATATTAAAATATGATATTACATTATATATTTTAGTCAACTTGGAGATCAGTAAACTAATCTAGGCTTTTCAAAAGGCAATATATATGAGTGTAGTATGATACATGAAATTATATCATATATGTGGGACTTCAGCAGTAAGCTGTTGCTTGGCAACAAGCGGAGCAAGTAGGATTTGGACTTCTGATATTAAGTACCATCAGTGCAATTTATAGAAGTACTTAAAACGGTAATGTTCCCTGTAGAGCAGAGATTATTTCTTTTGGATCAATTAAGACCAACAGCATTATTTTCCAGAGTGTCCAAACTTTATCTCCCATTCTTCAAAACACTAAATACTCATTTAAGATACATGTACGGGTCCTCTGGGGTTGTCTAACCAGTGTTTGGCTTTGTCCATGCAGGAAAAGTGTAAAGGCAGCCTGAGACAAAGAGCGTTCGAAGCGAAGAGGGCACAGGGAACAGAGGATGAGGAGAAGAGGCAGAGCGCTCCAGCTGAATCAGAGGGCGCCAACAGTCACTTGATCAAAATGTCAAGTGGCTGGACTACAAAAGAAGGCACACAAGCCATCTGAACACACATTTAAAATAAAGCTGCAGAGTATTTTTCTGTGTATGTACTGAAAATAATATATAGTTAAAGGACATGAAAGCTTTTCTGTTTATTCTATTCTTAAAGAATAAAAAGGTATGTATTAAAGACCCTAGGAATTATGGCTCTTCTTCTTTCATGCAGCCCATCTGTTTCATGCTCCAGAGTATTGAAAATATATAATCCAATAATTTCCAGTTCAACTCTCCGATGTGTGAAGACTAAGTGTTTGTTATGGGTGTGTATTAACACTTGATCAATCAGCAAGGTGTTAAAGATTCATGTAAGTATTCCAGCTTCCTCATTCTGAATCTAGATCGAAATACCTGCATGAAGTCTACTCATAATGAAGACAGGAATACAGTCGCCAGTATACATAATATTTCATTATAACATAACAGAAAACATAAAATGAACATATGAGAACTTTAAGGAGAGACTCTCTTTTATAGCACTTCATAATTCTTTATTGCACTGTGCTCGAGTGCTTTAAGAGGTCCTCGTTGACGAGGACGCAGATAAATATTGCTAATCCGAGCATTTGTTATTGATGCAGCAAAACTTTACCATTAGAGAGAAGAGTAGGATGATGAGTCATGTCAGTTTTAAAAACAGAATGCGTTTACAGAGGAATGATGGAGTACAAGGAAAAAATAACAAAACAAAAAGAGTTCCATAATTTCACCAAAGATCCTTTTGTTGCCTCAGAAAGAGTTAGGTTCAGCAACATGAAACCATCATCTGTGAGATAACAACGGTCTTTCTGTTCAGGAACACTTCCAGTGTCAAGAAACAGGGTGAGGAGCAGCTGGGGCTCGTGTGGACATCTCTTGGTCACTCTCGGGGTGTCCCGTGCTCTTTGGTTCCCACATTATTCTCTAAAACTCACGAGGCGTCTACAGGCTGGGAAGCAGCTTCGGGGCCTCCCTCCAGAATTTCCTTGACCTGTTCCAGACTCTCCGCCTGCCGAATCACCTCCAGCTTCACCTGCCAGCGGAGAGTGGGATGTGAAGTGGGGAAAAAAATAACTAAAGACAAACTATTTTTTTCCACACAGGTTCTTCCTGTACCTGCAGCGACTGGGAGAGCTGGACGAAGTCTCTCTGTACAGCCTGACTGGTGTCCACTTGAGAGCGCAGACTGATCACTTGGCTACGCAGTTCCAGACACTGCTGGTGTAAAGATGCCTGAAAGCCACAGAGACAACAGTGTACTAACTGATTTTATCAGCAGGAATCAGTAAACATGATTTACTGCAGCACATCAGACATGAGTACACATTTTGATCTTGGCCATTTCACATCAGTTGCTGGTTCCTAGACAGACGCATCCAACCATGCCGACGTGCCCTTAAAATGCTGTGGAGCAAGTTCATGCTTGTATAGACACAACCAACTTTCCTGCTACTGCACAGTCATCTCTAACACAGGGACACCTTCTTCTAAATACCATTAATGCACGCGGTTTTGTCTAATCCCCAATACATTTTTTACGCAACCGACGTAAGATATAAAAAAGAAAATACCTGTTTTGAAAGCATAGAACCATTAACTAATGAAGGGGTGTGGAAAATGTTTTGTACTAGTCAAAGTAACCACACAGGAGGTGAGACGCCAGACTTCCCTGATGTGAACAATCCCCATTTTAGAGCAATTGTTAGGTTTAAAAGCAAACCAGATTTACTTTGTCACTGCTGAGGGCTTTGTTGGTGCTCTGTACATGAGTGAGTGCCACCCGCAGGGCTTCCAGCTCGGTGCGGCAGGCCAGCAGCTCAGCCTGCAGCTGGTCCTTCTGAGCCTGGATCCTCTCCGTCTCCGTCCTCAGAGTGGAAAGCTGAACTGTGCACACAAGCATAAGTTCACATTACACCCCCAATCATTTCTTCTCATGGAAATGTACAATCAATTAACAGGTTTTTCAAGCTTGCTCATTTTTATCATCAGCTATGACATCACTATTCTAATTCTAAAAGCTTGACAGAATGATCAAATGCCTTACACCAACCACAAGACTCACTAACTGAATTAACAGTCAAATAACAAAGCATGAGTTGCTCACTCACCTTCTAAAACTTCTGATGGCAGCAGTCGCAGTTGTAGCCGGCACACGAAAGAGAGGGAGGAGGAAAAAAAAGTTTGAGCATCAAGACATTCAGCACAGACAAGTCCACAAAGATTAAACTAATCCACCGACCGTTCTCCTCTGTCCGGGTGTCCAGCTGCTCCCTCAGGTTGACGATCTCAATCCGAAGCCTCTCCTCACAATGCGCCCCCTGAGGGATGGAGGGAAAAAAGTTCACCCCAGGGCAGGACAGGAATGAGGCCCTGATGTTACAAAGTCTGCAACAGCTAACGCAGCACAAGTAGCACAGCACCACGCGCTGTGTAGAACTGCTCAAGACGAGAAGTAACCGCTAACAGAGAAGAAATCCAATACACAAACAAGCTCCTTGACGGTTTCTGTTCCCTTTGCAGGAACATGTAAAAGTGTGATGAGAAATCTTCAGGGACGACGCAGCGATGTGGAATTTACCAGCAGGCTTCCAATAAGAAATCACTGGAAGTGAAAAAGCAGCCGTACATGCAGCGTTGCTGGGAAAGAAGAGCTGTTTTCTGGTAGGTCCTCCTCAGCGTCTTCTCCTTTCAGCCTGGACAGTTCGCTGCACATCTTCCGCTGAGACAGGGACAACTCTGCCTGGACCAGAAAAGAACAAAGAAAAAAAACACAAGGCAAAAAAAGGAAAAGTCAAACATCCTCCGACCAAACAGAAAACATTTCTGTGAAATAAACTCATTTCAGAGGAAACTCGCAAAATATGTTCTGTAAATGTGAACTGAACCAACTCACCAGCCGGCTCTGGACTGCATTCTGTGACTGGCTGAAAGATTTCTGCAAATCCTGGAGGAGAGACTCTGAAGTATGGACCTGAGACTGGAGCACCGACACCTGAACGCACACAAACGCATCAGCACGCCTCAGTCGGCACAATCACTTGCTGGACACAGCTTGGGAAGATGCGCACTGCCGACCTGTTTGTGTGTGTGATTGGTCTGGGTATCCAGTTCTTTCTCCAGATCCTCCTTCTCCGCCTCCAGCCGGCTCACTTCCCCCCGCAGCTCTGACAGCTGCTCAACACACCACAGGTTCAAAACAATGCAAAGCCCACGGTCAAAACAGACCAAATTCCCTTAAATAGATCGTTACCTGTGTGTTGAGTGCATCCCAGTCACTGTGCGTGACGAGCCGGTGTCCAGCAGGTGGCAGGTAAATGGCTTCGGGCACCAGCGTTCCTGTGGACACCAGCGAGTCGGTGTCTTCCTGAGCAAGGAGTTTCCTGGGCAGAGAGGGAGTGTCCAAGGAGAAGGAGGACAACGAGGCTGAGTCGCAGTGCTGGAGAGAGTAATACGCCTCCGTGGACAGCGGCGCTCCCTCCCCCTCGGCGGCCGCCTCCAGCTCCGCTGCTTGACTCTGCGTCCTGTCCGGCGACGCCGCCGCCTCCTCCGTCGTCAGGCTGTTGGCGACCGACGCGGAAGGTTCATGAGAGGAGATTTCAGCCTCTACCCTGCCCCTTCTGCTGTTAATCTAACAGGTACAGACAGAAAAAAAAGATGGGGTTGAGCCCAAAATTTCAGTCAGGAGTTGAATTTACAGAAAGAGCCTCTGACCATGGCATGTCCGCTGCCTCTCCTCCAGTCCACAGGCTGAGCCTGGAGAACAGCTATCCTGGCTTCATACTGCGCTGCCGTCTCTGAAGATGGAACAAGATGACGAAATAATGATAATCATTACCAAACAAAACAAAACTCTACTGCTTTTTAGATTGAAATGCTTTATGAAGGATCATGCTGATAACGAACTGCCAAATGCAAACGATCACTGACCTCTGAGAGCCTCCTGCAGAGACTGGATCTCCTGATCACATTGTTTCTGCAGCTCTGACAGTTCCTCCTGTTTGCTCAGCTCACAGATGGTGGCCACACCCTGCCAGTGTTCGGCCTGGGCTCGGAACTCGGCTAGCTGGGTTTGCAGGCTCGCCACTGAAAAACAACAAACAAGTCGCTATGCTTTCAGTCCATTCTGTTCTGAATTATGCACAGTGATGCAGAATGATTTAAGGAAACAATTGCAAAAGTGAAACCGCCACTAAAAGATTGGAGGAGGTGTGCAAAAGGTCTCATGCTTTAAACTTTAAGGCAAATGACTGAAGGTCTCACAATTGGGGAAGCTATAAAAATATATCAAGTGTCTCTAGGATACAATTTCCAATTTTACAGCTGTCAATAAGGGAAATATTCAAAGTTTAATAGATAAAAACATTCAGATAAACTTGCACACTTCAGGACCAAAACACAAGTTTCAGGGTTGACACAGGAAGAGCACAGATGACCGAATATCTTCACTGATCTTGTGTGATATTTTGCTTTCATTCAGACACTGGTGATGAAATAGACATTTGGAAACCGCAATTAACAGCCTCAACAATTTTTCTCCTTAAAATGAAGGACATATTTAGCTTTCTTATTTTTACAAACAAACTCAACAAAAAAAACTCAATGATACAAAGTTCAGGAAAAACCTCCTGAAAACAGAACTGGGGGTGGCTTTACTGACCTGTACCATCTGCTCTTTGATGATGATCCCCAAAAAGTGTCCCTCACACACACACACACAGACACACACATAGACATACACTTTCACAAACATACCATGCAGATAAATTACATTGTGTAACATCTGTTATCTATTGCTACCAACACTGCACACACACACAAGACCAAAGACAGTCAAAGCACTCTTACACAAGTCAAACAAGTCGTTGCAAAGACACAAGAAGCTGACCAACATTTGACATGCAAAACAGTCAAACCTTAGGGCATTAAAACACTATGCTTGTACGTTCGAACACAAACACCGCATGGCTTTAAAGGGTCAGAAATGGTCCTCGACCCCCGGGTCGTTTTATGAATTAATAGCAACATTCAATAACAGAGTCACTGGTCATTTAAGATGCTTTCGCTTTCATTTACAAGCAGTTCCTACATCACCCTACCAGTCATTTAGACACTATTTCTTCCATTCTGTATTTTTGCTTTAGCGTTGAATGTCACTTTTTACACTTTATAAACTGCTACATGAAAATTGGTAGTTAGTTAAAGAGCTATTATCAAAGATGGGGCGAAGTGTTATGGGTTAATATAAAAAACAGCAGCCGAACAGGCCTAAATGTGACTTTGTTGCAGAAATCCCCTATGAAGCCTGTGCGCACACTAAGTGTTAGCTAGCGGCTAGCAGCGTCAGTGGGTTTCTGTGGTCAACGATGCTAACAGGCCGGTCGTCCGTTACCTGACCGGCGGCGCCATAACTCCAACAGGTTTCAGTGAACGCCAGCAACAGGTTGGCGATCATTTTGACAAAGAATTCAAGCTGTAAAATCGCCACAGTGGCCTCACGGGCGGCTGTAAATCAGATGAAAGTTAAAACTGCTGGGTTTTGTTTTGTTTATTACTACCTGTGTCTTCACTCTTCGAACTCATCCTCTCGTCCGACAGTTCCATCTGAGGTAGGGCACGACAGATAAATTAAAGGGGGGCAGGGTGGTGGTGGGGGGGGGGAACTAGAAAAAGTCCAAAAGACTGGTTTCAGTCATTTGTCCAAAAGCATAAGAAATAGGTGTGGAAAATGAGCAGCACAATGTCAACTTCAGGAAACAACTTTCCCCGGTCTAAGCCTGCGGGAAGTACGTCAACCTCCTTCCTGTCCACCAACAGTTAGCAGAGGCTGGGTCACATCTGTGGAGCAGCGCACACCTACAGGACTGAAGCTCCACATTCTTTCTGCATTTAGAAAGAATGTGAGGTTGAATCTCTCAAACAGTCAATAAATCAGTAAACACCAGGCTGTGCTTTCTATCCAAAACTAACGCCTTCGAGTGTTGATTCGAAATGTGAACATATCACCTGACAGAGCACAAGAACTAAACTACCCAGAGAAAACAGAGATATAGATCATATAGTTCCGTGTAGTAATTTTGTTATACATAATCCATAATCTGTACATTTTTCTCCATGAGTTAAAACGATTTGGAGTTATATGAAGCTATATTGTATTACTCCAGTGCAAGACTTGTTATGGATGTAGTGCAGTGTAGTGTCAATGTGTGATTTTTTTATCAGAGTATTGTAAGCGCTACACACACACTCATACATACAAAAAATAATGACACTTTTGTACAATTTAAGGTTGGTGTAATGAAAAAGATGGCTTTTTGTTTACATTAAATAATGATACCCTCTGCTGGAGAATTGCTAGTATTTTAGAGTACTATTATTTGTATTATTAATACAGTATATTTAGTATGATTATTTTTCGTTCTCAATACAATAATTTCCCCCCCAATCACCCCTGTGATACACTGTATTAATTTCTGCGTTCAAAAGTTAGTCCCAACACTAATTGATTGTCCTGTGAGATTTTGAAGTGAAAAGGATACAAAAACAAGAAGAGTAAGAAACCTCAATTGTAAATCCAGACAGTTTGTCGTGATTTAAATGATAAACTGTAAAACCTTAAAAGTTCTTCTGTGAAGACAAAAAAACAAAGACAGATTCACATAATATATGTTCTGGGATTTGTCCACCTATGAGAACATGAAACATACCAAGAAAAAGACTCATTTGAATTACTGAGTTTATTTTTAAATTATATAGCTGTAAATAAAACCTGGTAACAATGCACAGACAGAGTACAAAAAAACAAAACAAAAATAAAATAAAACCCCTTGACCTCGTCACTGATAACCGTTTTGAATACTGGTCAATAATCATCATCCATAAACACTCATATGCTCTGGATCAACACAAAACAAACTCCATGACAAGCTATCAAAATGCTGGTGAAGGTTCTCAAAATCTGTGACATATACAAAGTGACTCACAAATCAGCGCTACAAGCTCTTATAGTTTGAAAAGATTTCTGTATCCCAAAGTGGTATGTACCGGATTTAAGATGATTGGAGCAGAGGCACAGTATACAAATATGGAAGAACGCTCCGAAGAAATGAGTGATTAGTAACAGGCTTATGTCATCTGTAAACGGGCAGTTTTCATGGTTCAAACAGAGGTGACATCATATTAACAGGTAAACTGGTTTTATAGAAGTCAAAAGCAGAAGATTTTGGTGTACCTTGTAAAAGGATTAAAAATACATAATCGAGTGGTCCGAGTTTAACGGTAGCTGGCGTAAAACCTTGACAAACTATTTAATTGGTCCTAAACCCTGGGATTGGTGTTTTTGCACACATCTCTACAAGTCCATGTCCTGATCGTTGACACTCTGGCGCAGGTAATCCTCATAGAGCTTTTTCTAAAGGGAGAGAATAAACCATTAACACCAAAGACTTTATTTGCTGGCGGGCCAACTTCAGAGTGGGTCACGCACGCTACCTTTTTGGTCTTGACCACGTCCTGAATGTAGCCCAGCTTCTCCTGTAGCTGCCGTTTCTGTCTCCCCGATAGGGTCGCCTTAGTCCTGCAACAGGGAGGAAAGTAAAATCCAAAAGAGTTCAGTTCACTTTTCAATTTACAAGTGCAAGCTGGCATTTTGAAAAGGGGGTGTTTCCTCTATTAATGCACTGAAAACAGGAAGCTTTTACATTCTAAATCCCAGGTCATGAAAAGGTAAAGAGCGTGGACAGGAAATGGCTTCTTTTTTTTTTCAATCAAATGCACTTAAGATTTCAGCTCCTGTGCAAAACTGAGGGTAAAGGATGTCATTCAACAGAACTTGGGTTACAGGGCAAGTTTTTTCAAAAAAAGAAAGAAGAAGCTGTGATAGGGCCTCTTACCCCATGGAGAAGCGTGCAAAGATGATCAACAGGAATGAGAGAAGGACGGATCCACCACTGACGTAGATCTTCATCTCATCCGACAGGGAGTTAAATATTCTCACAATGGGAGTCTGTGCAATTACAAGAGGAGCCATGACCACTCTTGTTATCTTTTCAAGCAGAAAACAACATTTCAAGTTGTGCAACAACTCAACAAGGAAGTGAAGGACACTCACCAGGTAGAGGGAGAGTGTTTCTGTCCCTTGTTGGCCCAGAACCATCTCCAGCAGCTCCTTGGACAGACTGCCCAGCGCCACAAAGGCCAGCAGGGCCAGAGGGACACAGAAACCCAGCAGGGTCAGGAAGCAGCTCTTACAGCGTGAACGTCGGTTGGTCAGGCTGGTCAGCCTGTGAGAGCAAAGGATCCGGGTTAGGCTCCGAGGACATTTCTGGCTGGTGCTGCTGTGTGTGTGTGTGTGTGTGTGTGTGTGTGTGTGTGTGTGTGAGAGACCTATCTCAGTCATAGCTGAAATGAACAAGACTCCCTGAAAGAGCCTAACAATCCCAAACCCTTTGGAGATAACAGGCCGTGCTTCCAGCTCAAGTTCCAAATATTCTTAGCCTTTACACCCACGCACCTCGGCATTTATCAACTAAAAATGGAGCAACTGTTTTGGGGACAAATGGGAGGCGGCATTTTTCCCCCACGTGAATCCCGCTGAGACTAGGAGCGGAATTCAAGAGTGGAAGAAAGCTGGTGTGTGAGTGGCAGAGGAGGCCCCTGAGCGTCACCTGTCGTTGCCGAGCGTGTCTGTAATGGCCTCACTGACGAGCTCACAGTCCCTTTCCAGAGAGTTGAGGGTAGTCTGGACGGTCTGGTTGATAGTTTTCTCGATCGTACGGCAAACATCCTCAATTTGGTTGATGCAGCGACTGGGCTGGGGACGAGAATACATATGACGAGGATGAATACAGAGAGATGCCTCGATATTAATAGGAGGAGGGCCAAATGAGCAGAAACTCAGAGATGTCACTCCCAACCTTGTTTGGATTAGGGATGTAGATGGTGGGCATGTCAAAGCCACATTTATTGAGGCCGGGCCGCTTGCAGAGCTCCTGGACAATCTGCATCATCACTCTCTGAAACAGCCAGTCACACAGGAATCAGTCAGGAGGACGCGGTAAAGGGGTCTCACATTTCAATTTGACAGTGGTATAAGCGAAGTGAGCCCAGATGTTTACCTGTCTGTCCGACTCTCCCCCGGCTTCATCGGCCTTGCTCAGGTAAAAGCGCAGCCGGTCGCCTTGTTTTTCATTCAGCTTCTCCACAATGTTGAGGGTGCGCTTGCAAAGAGCCTGACCCATGGGATCAAAGAAGACCAGAATAAGCTCACAAAGCTCCCCTGAAAGTGACAGTGAGAGGAACAATTATTCAACACTTCCAAATATTCACAAAAGCCAAATGAGCTTTTAAACATCAGACTGAAAACCAAATACTAAAGTCAGGCTTGGATAAGAACAGCCAATTGAAAAGCGTGGAAACCTACCGAGCCACAGAAGAACATCATCCACGTCAAACGGGTACTTCATGTCACCGTCCACCAAGCCTGGAGAATCCACAAATGTCACCAGGCTAAACCGCTTCTGTCGCGACGTGCAGATCTCTGTGCTCAAATACTCTGAGACTCCTAGAGAAGAATTCAGTGGGGCAGACATTGTGAACACAAACAGAGAAGTGTTTGAAACCAATTACAATAAGGAAATCCACATCAGCTAATTTTTCACGTAGCAAATAGGATGAAATATTACCCGTTCACTCTTTAGTAAGAAGAACTCACCTTTAAACTCCTGCAGAGGCTTGAAATGCGGATAAAGATGAAGGGTGGCGTTTCCCTAAAGACAGAACACAACTTTCTTAGAGATGGTGGCTAAAGCAGATGTCGACCTCTTCGCGGCTCACTGAGTAACTTCAATGAGGTATAACTTTGAGGGAGAACAACTGGTTTCACAGTAGCGTTCGAATACTGCTGTACTCACTGTGAGGGATTCTCTCTTTCGTCCATTTGTAACAAAGCTGAAGCCTTGTGTCTCGATGGCTACTCCAGTTCGCTGGATGTGTTCCTCCACATACCTGACCAAGACAAATATTAGAGACAGCTCTTGTGATGGTTGATCTGGTAAAGCAGACGAATATCTGAACTCATTTCAACATTCGGCATAAACAACAGACAGTAATGTTACCAGTTGATGAAGGAGCTCTTTCCGGCAGAGTGGTTTCCCATGAGCATCACTGTGATCTTTTTCCTGGGCGGCAGCAATTTAATACCAACGGACTCAGCGACTGTAATCAACCCTGGTGAAATAGTACGTCGATAATATGTAGACATTTGTCTGGAAATAAAGTATGCATTTATCAAGAAAAACTGGAGCCATCATTCTTCTGTGCTTGCATCTGCGGAACATTGAGGATCAACAAACATTTACAAAAGTTTTTCTTCCCGCCTCTTAGTTAATAACTTATTTGCGTCTCAGTTTTGGATAGGGAATAGACTTGTTAGTTTTAAATCTATAAAAACCCTGAATTCCAAGTAACCCACCTGTTGTAGCTTCCTCTTGCTGCGACACGCACACACACACAAGTTACGTTACAAGTTGAACCACACGGTACAGCTGGCCAATTGCCAACAAATTGTGCTCCAAGGTTTTGCAGAGCAGTGGTTATGCGTTACTCACATAACTGGAATTCACTCTGGTAGATACAGCATTAGCCAAATCTCAAAATCCTTTTAGCAAACTTAGCTAGCGCTTAGCCCCCCTTCATGCATCCCCTATATAAATGGGTTAGCTAGCTAACCACTGGTAGAAAACGACTTGATTTTAACAACAATAACAACAACAAAATTAAAGATATTTCATTCATTGTCCGATGGAGAGTCCGAGTTAATCAACTCACCACTATCATTGTCCGTGTACAGCTGATGAATCTCCCGCAGGATGCGTTCATCGCAGGACACTCCACCAGCCATCGAGTCAGCATTGGCGGCATTTCGGCTCTTGGTTTTTCCCGACATGGCTGCACAGAGAGTTGGTCAAAATGTCTTAAACGTCTGCCACAGACACCTAAGCACAGTGCAGGAAATAAGCGGAGCCGGTTCCCCTACTTGAATCGCACCAGCTCGCTGAAGCCCCGGGATGATGAGACGTATGCCAGCCACGTCGTCAATTCGAGCGCGTTTATCGCAAAGGATGCTGGGAAATGTAGTGTGAAAACTGTCTCCGTAGAAAGACAATGGAAGCTTTCGGGCGATAGGCTATACTGACTTAAAATCATTAGCCGATTAACCATTAATATCACAGATTGGGGTGAGATTAAATAAAGGGGTGTCTTATGAAACCAACTGTATATTAGAGTTATCAAAACTAACAAAATAAAAAAATGGAGCCCGTGATGGTGTATGGAGGAAAATGTACCAATGAGAAACAGGTGCACTTATGTCTCCAGTAAATACACAGTTGTCCATTTACTACAACGTAAGGGCCAACCTAAACACAACTTGTGTGTGTGTGTGTGTGTGTGTGTGTGTGTGTGTGTGTGTGTGTGGTGGGAGTTCATATCTTTCATATTTAGTATGTTTTGTTTCATTAAACGTGTAAGTATATTTTTTGTAATATCCGATATTCTTTTGCATCTGTGTCTCTAATGCCTCTTTCTGAAAATAGGATCAATGCAATATATATAAGTGTTTGTGGTACTTAAATCGATAAAAAAAACAATCATCCTTAACAGTATCATCCATTTTAATATTGTTAGCAGGAAGTCTTGGAGACAGTAATATTCTGGTGAGCAAAAACGTTACAGTGCACTGAAATCTTACTGGACATTTAGAAGTTTCAGAAAAAGATTCAGTGCAAGTTCAAACTTTTTCACATAATTAAATTTATATGATAATTCATCATTTTAATTTACAAAGAATGCAATGTGATAAGTAACGCCTTTATATCAAATACAGAGGTTAACACTGTCAGCCATGTGAAATTTCAGCAATACAGCAATATAGTCTCCTTGTTTTCTTTTACATGTTAAACAGCAAAAAAAAACACAAAAAAAGAATAGCATCCAAACCTTTAAGCCAAGATGATGATGAAAATGTGGGATTGCCAGTATCAGAGAATTTTTGGATGGGACATACTCTCTCTTCCCACAAGAACAAATGCTATTATTGTTTTTCCTGTACTTATGTGGTGCTAGAAAGTGGCCTGGGTGCACTCTACTTGCATTGCAAAGACAACTGCAAAGAGCATCTTGATGGTTGTAAGGGATTTCAAGTTCCTGCTGTGTAATGCACCTAACATTAAGGAGCTCCCTGTTTGGTGAAGCTTGGAACAGACTTAACATCACTTGAAAGTCGAGTCATGCAGGCAAATGTTGTGATACGAGTGGTGATGAGAGCAGATAAAAGCAGCTAATTGGATCTACAGCGCCTCCTAGAACCACTTCTAATACAATAAGCTTATCTTGTAAAAGGTTTTGACTAATAAACCTGACTACATGGGAGATTCCTCTTTTCTTCACAATGTTCCACCCACACTTATTTTGTTGCACACAGAGAATTTATAATCTCTTGTGAAATATATTCATTCAGTCTGAAGGCAAGCATATCAGTATAAAAGAGAGAAAACAAGTATGCATGCAGGTGTTGGTATATAAGAGTTTGTAGCAGGACTTCATAAATATACAAGCCCATACATGCATAAACCTTTATCACTGGAACAGTTATCCCCAGCCGTGAGTGTGTGTTTGGAGGGGCAGGCTGTCAAGTGTGAAATGGTTGTGAGTCCGCCATCTGTCAGCAATTTAAAGTCATGTCTGTCCTCCAACTGGTTTTGAATTTCTCAATCTCATTGGACCACGAAGCTTTTACATTACATGCTCTTCTCTTGAAGCATAATTAATCAGGATTCTGGCACAACCTGTTTTGTTCTTGTGATCATGTTAGTTGATGATGACACATATTACATTTGAATGATTACACTGATCCCTTTGAATAATAAAACAAGGGAAAAATAACATAAGGTGTCATGTTGCTACATGGACAAGTATTCTTAAGGCTCTTTTCTTCTTAAACATTACTTTGGAGTCTTCTGTCCTCAGTTACCAGTGGGCTTTCTTCTCTTTGGCAACAAGCTCCAGGAAATGGGAGTGATTTGCATAAAGGGCCAAAGACGAGTCGACATCAACCCACTGGACTTGTCCTGCGTCATCACCAGCTTGCAGAGGAAGCTCACTCACACTGGTACCTGCACAAACCAAACAGACAACCCGTCATTCCAAGAAAAAACTGCATCTCATTTTGCTTTCAATTGTCTTTATCAAGAAATTGTCAAAACGGGAAGGAAAAGTCAACAGACTTTAAATTGCACTGGATTAGCCAATACTGTGGTGCGATAGTGACGAAGTAAAGACCGTGGACATGACGACTAGTGAGAAAAATGCAGTTAAAGACACCTGTCTCATCATGAAAGTTGACAGCAACTGTCTCCATCCAAGCATTGTCGGTGTTTCTGGGATCATCGACGTAGCCTTTATAAACCTGGATCAGAAAGGTCTCTAATTAAAGAAAATGCACTTCTAGCATACCCAGTATTATTCATGAGGTTTTGTAGACACAAAGGTGTTTCTTTAAAACAATTATTTTTTTAAATCTACTGTTGGAATGACAACTTGCAAGTGGAGCTATGTTTTTTTGCAACACTGTAACCAAAGGTGGACCAGGGTGGACATATGAGTAATCTAAATAATCTGACTGAAAGAAACCAATCTAATCTGTTGGGAGTCTGACTATTGCCTCAACCTGTGTTTTTTTATGATGGAAAAACCTAATAACTGAAATCTGATGGTGAACAAACAAATGCATTAATTACTGACCTGAAACCCTTGTGATTTGAAGAGTTGGTTGATGCGCTCATGGATTTTTGCTCTCTCTGATGGTGAAACTGAAAGCGAGTTCAAAGCTTCCTCTGAGAACTCCCGCTGCAAAGTCAGAGAAACCTGCTCCCCTGGATCTACCATCCCCTGCAAAGTAGAATGTGCAGCCATTATTTGTTTTATTGTAAATATTATTTGGTTATTCTAAATAACCTTTATTCATGCCTCCATTGTGCTTGTTCCCTTTTTCTGCTGTAACACTTACAAATCCCCAATGTGGGATCAATAAAGTATTCTTTTTTATTCTAAAATGTTATTCCACCATTTTATGCTATTGCTTTGGTTCAATAGGTTTCATGGATTGACAGGCTAAAATGCTGTTGTAAATTCTGGTAAAACATGGTGTAGAACATAAAAATAGATTCTGTGAACTTTGTAGCTTTATTCGGAACAACAAGCAAGGTGCCAAAAGATATTATCTATAAAATGAATAGACGTGTAAAATCAGCTAACCCCTGGAATGGCCCATTCCCCACAGTCTTTCCTTTTGATGGAGACATACTGCAGAATAGGCTGCTTGGAGACTGAGTGATTCATCTTTGCTCCACTGGGATCTAGTTTCCATCTAAAAGACACGAACATATGTCACCACTTATAGACATGAATTGATCATCATTTACCACTTAAGTTTGGTAAAAATGATTTACCATGTGTTTGAGTCATTCTATCAGAATCAAGGTAATAAGTATGATTAATGACAATATGAAAACAAGAATTATTATATGAAAAAGACCTTGTGACTATGGGATCTGCTGCATGATTAGGTCCCCATCGTCCTAGCAAGCCTCTACCCGTCAGCCCTGTTCGTCCACGAGGATTTCTAGAAGCAAAAACAAGAATTAGTAATCCTGATTGATATGTCATATGCAATTATCTGTCTCCCAAAATAAAGTAAAAGGTCAAATAGATCCTAAGATGCTCGGGTACAAAACAAAGTTTAAGAGAGCACTGGCATTCCCCTTATAAGACTACTTGAGAATACTGCTTACAGGCCCGTAATGGACATTTATACTTCTGTTACTTTACATTAATATTAAAGCTTCATTAAGTAGTTCTGCCTTTCACACTAACAACAAATAACTTTCAGTCAGCAATGTAAGAGGAAACCCATCCCTCTTTCAATTCTAGAGGTTTGATGTTTTTAGCAATAACACAAAATTACTTCCCTTAACGAGAAGTTTAGTCGGTTGGACAGTAACTTCAATTTCATAGTGTTAGTATTTAGGAAAACACTAAGCCAAAATGTTTGCGAAAAATGAAGTATACCCTATTGATTCAATTTTAGGGTTTATTTAGTAAATCATATAAAATCAATATGCCGCACGCCATGTTTGGTTGCCGAGATCTCTGGCTGTACTAGTCTTAGTACTTGGCAACTTACAAAGGTTTTCCATTATCCACTCTGTAGCTGCCTTCAAAGCTTGTTCTGTCCACAGCACCATCCACAGCATTGAACCTTGGAGAGAAAGAGCTGCACAGAAAAAAAACAGCTCTAAAAAATTGTAGAAATATTCGGTCTTTGGTCATTGCCAATAAATAGATAACAGAATATTGTTAAGAATGTTTATCAATACTCACAAAACAATCAAAGAAATATAACTGTAACTAACTTACTGAACATACAGTCTTATTCCGTTCATTCCAAATATGTATAAATGTAAAGCATGCACATTACACTTAACTGTTGCTCACCCAATATCAGGATCTGCCCATACTGGCTTTTTTAAAACTGGAGGGGCAGTGTAGCAGACTGGTTTATACTGCGGCCACTTCTGACTCCAATCAACCATGTCATCAGGCACAGGACAGCGCTTGACTGTGGAGTTTGGATACTGGGGGCATCTGGCTTTTACATGAGGTGCTGCTGCTGAGGATGGCATTGTCCCGACACTGGTCATGTAAAGGTTACAGCCACTGGCGCTTTTTGGTATGATGTTTACTTTTGTTCTAGCAGGCTGAGAAGATGAGCAGAAGTCAGTGGACCTGCAGTACAAAAAAGTATGAAACACATATGAACCCATTCATTATACATGTCCTCTGACCATATAGAAGAAAGTAGAAAAGCAAGGTATTGAGCAATTATTACAGGACACGATGTGCTTCTGCAATACAAGCCTGTGGTCTACACTAACTGTCATTTGGTGTGGAGAGTTTTAATTACATCGCTGCAACTGTATGGATTAAGTTAATGGTTATTATTTGTTGTAATGTTATAAACTTGTTAGGGAAATGCCTTGCTTTCAAAATCGTAGCTTTAAACTAATATTTTAACAACTACAAATCTCAATAATCAATATAACTTTTCATACCGTACTCCAGAAGTGAAGACAGTATACGGGAGACCTAGGAGAGTAAGCGCCAAAGGAATCTGCCCTGTCCAGTTTTGTCGGAGGGGTAAACGAACCATTCCTTGAGAGAAATTAATACAACATGCAGATCACCGTAACCAGGAAGTGCGCCAGCTTGCGCGATGACGTATACAAAGGGGCGGGGTTGCAGCACGTATACTCGTTTCCATAGTGATTCAATTAAACTATTCCTGTTATATTTGTCGAACCAAAATTATTTGAATGACAGAATGGCATTTAAATAGGTGTTCAAAATTGTATTAGTAGAGTATTAAGCCAGTCTCGAAGGGAGTATATTGCTATTTTGAGAACCCGGGTTTCTTGGTGGACCACTCAAAGCTCATACTGCGGAAACTGTGCCGATAGCCGTGAACGCATCACATATCTTACTCAGTCCTGGTCGGAAAAGGCCCCTTGAGGACACGGGATTTAAAATACTCACTGTGCCTACCCACTGAGAAAAAAACGGAAGGCGTTACTATGTTCACGTACTGATTTTAAGACGGATTTGTATAATACAGTTTTGGATGGGTCCCCAAATGTTAAATACACGTTTAACAAATTCGTGTCGAAATTGGCTGAGCGCAACATGTTTTGACACGCCCACTGGTGGCTGCTATTTGTTTCATTGGCAGATTTCGCTCCACAGAAGTTGCATAAGTGATTTCTTTGCGAAAAACCCAGCTCCGCCCAAACAAGTCATCCTTGTAAACACATCTAACGCACCTGTAATACCGTAATTTGGCACGCGCATTTACGCTCCGAGCTGAGACCAAATCCGCGCTCGCGCACGAGATCCATTTACGCTCTGGTAGTAAAGAGGGCCCTGACCGACTCGCTCTGCTCCGTCGACCAAACAGTCCAGCCTGTAACGCCGCGAGGGGGTACTGAGCACGTTGGTGAGACTCTCTGACGGAAAAGGAGCGCTTTGGCGAGGAAGAATGGCGGATTCAAGCAGCACTGCAGCAGTTGGGGCCGAAGGCTCCAACAGCGCTGCTGCTGCCGAGGCGACTGGCACTGTTGCGCAGGATGTAGCGCCCGAAGCTGCGGGGTCCAGGCCCGAGACAGTGAAGGGACAGAATTTTGACGTGGCCCCCCGCTACACAAACCTCTCTTACATTGGAGAGGGAGCCTACGGAATGGTTTGGTGAGCAATTACTCTTTGTGTGGCGACTGTACTATAAACTAAATCTACTGGTACAATATAAGCTGTTGGCTAGCAAATAAATGTAGCGTGCTAACCGCAGCCTTTTTTTTTTTTTTTTTTTTTTTTTTTTTTTTTAGGCAGGCACTGTCAACTAAATAGTAGTGCAGTGACAATATTGGTTATTAAAACAGGTGTACATTAACCTGACATTGATTAAGCTTAAAGCAGCTTATTTTGAGGTTAGCATGTTAGCTGGGCTTATACAGGCGTGGCTATGAGCTTTACAGGAAACAAGATTGGGGAGTGATTGCGCAGGACGTGGTTTGCTATCCGATCAAAAGTGTTTTTTTAGGCTTCCGTTGCCTGCAAATGTAAGTTAGTTTGGGCCGTAGCCATTTGATCGTGTATTCATTTAGCGTACACCCGAACACACGCTCCCAGGTACACTGACTTGAGCTTGTTTTTGTGATAGAAAAACAGTCAATCTGCAGTGAGGCTGCTGCAGAGGATGCAAAACGGATTGGTCACTTATAGCGAGGCCTCGCGTTATCTGTGTGTAATATCTGCAGTCTGTTGTGCACGTGCTAAACAGCCCCGTTCCTCTAGATATTAACGTTCAGGCATCCCTGTCTGTGAATACAGAGCCTCAAATGTGCGGTGCAAAATGGGTTTGTAAAATGTTTGTAGTATGTCATCTTGATCATGTGATCTATCAGCCTCTGCGTTTGGTGTTTGTAAACACTGAATCTTTAGGCTGGCTCTGAAGGGGAAAGTCAGCCTTTAAGGGTGCGATATACAGCAGCTCCAGACCTTAATAACAATCTATGATCTGTGTGCGGGCCACAGTATTTCAAACACTGAGGAGCTCCTGCAAGCGTGGATCATTCATAAGTAGATTGTGCAATGAGACACTTCCACAAATGGGAAGCTGTGGTGAAACAGCATTTGCTGTCAAATCCAAACTAGAATATTGTCTGTCAAAGGGATAGTGAGTGAAGCTTCATCAAAACTCGGTGGGGGGAATAAGTTAAGTCTCCGTGGATGCTCTCTTGCTTGCTCTACACCTACACCAACACGGTGCGCATGCACTCGGGCCTACGTTTACAACAGATCGCAGTGAGAACACATCACACAGGCATGTTGCCAATAGAGACGGCCTGCGGGGCCCTTTTAGGGCCAAGAGTCTGCTCAGTTTCTGATGCTGCCATTATGTGTGTGCGTGTGTGGGAATTGTGCAGTGTGTAACACGACACCTGTTTTTGTTCTTCTTCTTTCCAAATTCTCTGTGTATACAGCTCTGCTGTGGACAACTTAACAAATCAGCGCGTTGCCATCAAGAAGATCAGCCCATTCGAGCACCAGACGTACTGCCAGCGCACGCTGAGGGAAATCAAGATCCTGCTGCGTTTCCACCATGAGAACATCATCGGGATCAATGACATCATCAGGGCACGGCACATCGACAACATGAGGGATGTGTATCTTATCAGCCTTTTACAGGAAGTGTGTTGCCTTGATGCTACTCATGCATCAGTCACCTCAGTCCACATTTTATTTACTAAGAGAGGTTTCTAGGAAGAAGGAGGGCTTTGTGATCACACTTATGATTTACTATCTTTTTAGTATCATGAAATCTCTATTGGTGGCTCCATTTCTGTTCTATTTTTGCTGTAGAGAAGTTGATGCACATAATGCAGAAAGATGAGGTGCATATACATTGGTCAGTTTGAGGAGCAGTTTTAAACGAAAGAAGGAAGCATTTTAAGTCCTTTTTTAAAACATCAAAACCAAGAAACTAGTTTTCTTTTTCTTTGTGCAGCATTCTTTAGATTTGTGGCTCTGAAAGTCGTAGTTTAAACATCTTCCCACCTTAACATTTAATAACCTGACAAACAAAATTGTGCTGAGACTCTCGAGGTCTTAGTCCTTATTGCAGTGTTTTTTGTTTTGTTTTTTCATTAAGTGTGTGGTTTTAAGAATTCATCTGTGGCTACACAGCAAAATCAAAAGCAATTTCAGGCTGCTTGTGAAAATGGTTCAGGTTGAAAAGTCTTGATTGTCAAGTTTTTGTCTCTGGCTTAGAGCCTGAAGAGTTATTTTTATTTAGTTTTATGATCTTGGGGCAGAATTAGATGCGATTTGGTTAAAAAAACAAAACAAAAAAAACAGTATGATCTGGAGTAGGAACACATGTAGAGGATCACCTTCCTGATCTCTGTAACTTGTAGTCTTAGCATTTCTAATCAAACCCCCTCATTTAAAAGTCTTTCCACTTGTAGATAAGCTGCTGATTCATTGCTCGGGTTGTTGCAATTCGGACTCATTAGGCCTGGCGATCGTCCGGAGCTCCCAGCAGTGAAGTGTGGGCACGGTTTCCAGTGAGCTGCTGTCACCAAGTGCTGCTCCGGCAATTTGTCTCTGAAAAGCTGCATTGTTCCCTGAAAACGGAAAGAATGGCTGAGCCCTTTTGTTTGTTTTTCTTGTCGCTACCTCCCAGAATTAGGCAAATATAAGCAAATCCAGAGATATCACTTAGTGGTCTGAGCACAGCTAGGAGTGCTGCACACATAATGTTTTATACGTCTTAGTTACCTTTGAACTTTGTATTGTCATTGCTTCTTGATCTGGGCGAGGGGGGAGTCTTTTAGTAACTGGGTTTTGAGGTTTGCTGATGCTTTGTATGACAAACAATTTAGTACTACTTTGTCTTATTTCCAGAGAGTTTCAGTTTAGGGGTAGAGTCTTCTATTTATAAGGTGAACACATTTAAAGATGTTGCGGCTATGATGGGAGATATTGCTCATTGTTTCTTTTTATTAAATTAGTATGAAGTTGAGTGTTTCGGGCGTAAAAAAACCCCCCAAATCCTTTGTGTGCATCTTTTCAAAATGGATTGTAGTTGTCTGCCTTGACCCAAACGTCCTTCCAGCTACATCGTGCAGACTCTGATGGAGACAGACCTGTACAAGCTGCTGAAGAGCCAGAGGCTAAGCAACGACCACGTCTGCTACTTCCTCTACCAGATCCTGCGCGGCCTCAAGTACATCCACTCCGCCAATGTGTTGCACCGTGACCTCAAGCCCTCCAACCTGCTCATCAACACCACCTGCGACCTCAAGGTAGAACTATTAATTGGTTATTGGTGTAGAAATTAATTTTCTTTTCTGAGTAGCTTCACTTTTGGGAGGTGGGCCGCAATCTTTCTTTTTTCTTTTTGGTTCGTTTAAACTCTGGGGTTTTATTCCACGCATTGATGTTGGCTATATCATATACCTATATCTGCCCTCACTATTTTAGTTGAAGTCTACTTCAAAACCGTTAGTGTAGCATTTTAAAGCTTTATTTGATCAACTCTATATCGAATTCAGGCTTTGAAAGACACAGATATGGTTTATTGTACATAAAAAGCTCTGTGGGCCCATTTCCTGATTATTCAGTATGCTGAAGTATTAAATTATAAAACTGGTTTATATCCACTGCTTTTGTGAATGCGAGAATGGGTCCACATTAAATCTGAATGTAAACAGGAGGATTACTAAAAGGATAATCATGAAACCACAGATTTGAAGTGGAGTCGCACAACGAGCAGGTGTGATCCCAGGGGTGTAAGCACAGAGAAATGAATGACCTGCATGTGGAAATGATGTCTAATATTTATAGACACACTGTTTAGATTTTTGTTTTGAAAACTTATTAGCAAAAAGTTCAGTTAAACGTTCTGTGCATAGAAATCTGAGACTGTGGGCCGGTCAGTTTGGTGTGTGCAGGACAAATCGATGGCTTTGCTTTGTTACGCAGTGGCATGCAGGTCATGTTCTTTTTGCTGGTAATAATCCACCTGGTCCTACGCTGCTCAGCCTCAAAGTTCCTACCAGTATGTGAACTATCGGCAGCCAGCCATCAATCCCTGGATTATCTGATCATGTGCTGGGGGCCGAGAACAAAGCACATGTTACTGGGGCTTTCTTCTGGATTCCGCCCGGCTAGAAAAACAAAGCCTTATAGTACCTTACATAACTGAACGTCTACATACGTCGTTGTTATGATTTGTTACAGCTTCCAAAGGATGGTAGCAAAATAATTTGCACACCAAAATCATGGGGTCAGGGTTAGTGTTTGCTGACTGCGGGGGGGCGCTACCACCCCTCTGCTGCTCAGTGCAGTATTATCATGCTTGAAAATGCAGATTATCTGCAGTTTACTTACATAAGGTGTAAGACTTCTAAAGGGCCTCAAGATTGGGAAATAATGAAGGGTAAATAATCTCTTTATAAAATGGGAATCCACAGAGGAGTAGAGGCTTTGGGAGGTGGATCCACCAGATGGAGAGCACCTAGAATAATTCCTGAAACGACTCTTGTTGAGTTTTAAACCCTTTTTGCCCTCCTCAGATCTGTGACTTTGGCCTGGCGCGGATAGCCGATCCCGAGCACGACCACACCGGCTTCCTGACTGAGTATGTGGCCACACGTTGGTACAGGGCCCCAGAAATCATGCTCAACTCAAAGGTAGGGCTCTTACCGTTGGATGTATGCTTCATCCAGCCCGGTCCTCATTTTGACTGTATACGCTTGTGCCTCAGGGCTACTCAAAGTCAATTGACATCTGGTCAGTGGGCTGCATCCTGGCTGAGATGCTGTCCAATAAGCCCATCTTCCCTGGGAAACATTACTTGGATCAGCTCAACCACATACTGGGTGAGCCGCAGCTTTCATTTGTCTCTGCGTCCCGAGATGGAAACGCAGCGAGCAGCCGTGCTGAAGCTCCTATTTCTGCACAGGCATTCTTGGCTCTCCCTCCCAAGAAGATCTCAACTGCATCATCAACATGAAGGCAAGAAACTATCTGCAGTCTCTGCCTCAAAAACCGAGGGTCCCCTGGGAAAAGCTCTTCCACACGGCAGACAAGAAAGGTACCGCTGGCTCAGGGAATCACCACGGCCGGCCGTCCAGTCTCCGTGGAGACTGGGAGTGGTCAAAGGTTACGACCACCAGCCTGTTTGCTCTGAAGGTTCCAAAGTAGTTGGCTTTGAAAATGTCGGAAATGACTTTAATATGATAAATGGAAACGGAACAATAAATGAAATGAGACTTCCTGCGGTGAGCAGAAGGTAGCAGGGGATTTAAAATATTAATTTGTAAAAGAAAAGGTTTTGTTTTTTACACATTTTTGATGATTTACAGTAAAATATAAGAACTGAAAGAGAAATTGTGTACAGCCTGAGCTGAATTAATGTAAACTCTTTGTCAATCCACTGCAGCCCTGGAACTGTTGGGCCGCATGCTCACCTTTAACCCCTTGAAGCGCATCAGTGTTGAGGAAGCCCTGGCTCATCCTTACCTGGAGCAGTACTACGACCCCACAGATGAGGTACTAAGACCTCCTTTTTATTTTTGGACTATCGAAGAACTTATTAGGCCGAGTGCTGGAAACCCTCATTAGTGGTGCATTTAGTTCAAATTTGCTCTGTAAATGTCAGCATTACCTGCATGCCTTTTTTTTTGTGTGGCACCTTTTAAATGCTTCCATTCCATGTTGTTCTCCTGTTTAAATACAAACACTGCTGTTGTCATTCTGGCATGTACCTGTGTCTTTTTATTTGATTTTTGTTTTGTCTTTTAGCCTGTTGCCGAGGAGCCCTTTACTTTCTCCATGGAGTTAGATGACCTTCCCAAGGACAAGCTGAAGGAGCTGATCTTCAACGAAACGGCTCGTTTCCAGGAAAACTACCAGGGCTCCTGAGACAAAGGTACATAACAAACCCCCAGCAGGACAAAGCTGCAGGCATATTATGTTTCAAAAGACAATCTTAGCTTCTTCTTCTTGGCTTAAATGTCTACTGTACTGCTCCGTCACACCCTTGTTTTGTGCTCGTTTTGATTACAGAGCAACAGTCCGTTTAGATTTTGTTGTATAATTCCCTGAGCATAAGATCGATACAGTTGGACTGTGAGCAGAAGAAATGGACGACGTGCCTCAGTGATACAAATATTCTTCTTCTGACCCTTTTTGGGCTTTGGCTTTAAAAAATTTCATTAAGTGTCTAATTTATTTAAAACAAAATGAAAAAAATCCTGCTATCTTATTTATCTGTGTGGGTTGCTGTCAGAAGCTCAGCTGTTTGCTCTCCTGTGTGATCCACAGAGCAGCCGCGTCTCTGCCTTTTTGGAGCTCACAGAAACATTACTCAACCCACATTCTCTTAGAATTACCAGCTCGGTGACTTTACTAAACTCTAGTTCTTTGGAAAACACAAAGCGAGCTAAATCACAGCTTTGAGTGCACGACCGTCTTCAAAAGCTGTATGTAGCTTAGTGGAATGAGAATAAGAAAAAATAACACAAAGAAGTGTGGAAGCAAGTTTGTGTTATATTGGTTGGCCAGTTTCTGTCAGAAAGCAGCTTTAATCCTTAATCTGTCTGATAAATTTTTGCCAGTAGAGGTCAGTGGAGCGCAGGTCTTTTAAATCGGTCCTGAACCTCCTCTTTTACCTTCATATGAGATAAACTACAGGCTGCCGCACCACAACTGAGCAGGTCAAAAGGACTGGAATCAGATCTAAATCTTGAGTAAAGAAAAGGGAAACGCGACCTTGTGTCCTCTAACGCAAACTGGATTTTCAGGATTCTCTTCAACTCCTTTTCCTTCTTTCTCTTTCTCTTTTTCAGTCCCATAGCGAGTGATAAAGCCGCACCGATTTGAAAAAGAAGACCCCCCCAAACAACATGCTAAAATGAAAGGAAGACAAAAAAAAAAAGGAAAAAAATAAGCATCTTCAAGAAACCACCAAAAAGTTTAACGAGAAAAATGAACATTTACCTGCTTATCTTTCCATTTGTAATACAAGAGAGAGCTGAGTATAACTTTGATTTCTGTGGCTGAGTGAGGTGGTGGGGTCTGTCGAGCTCCCGGGGTCCACAGTGGACTCTTCACTAACCTCACCTTTGGTTTTGTTTTGTTTTTCTTTGAGATTTTCCCTGGTTTACTGTCCCAACCCATCCCATCCGCAGTAACTCTGCCCTTCCCCTCTCCACACCTTTTCTCTCACGTTGTTTCTGTGTGTGAGCTCTCCTGTCCCCCCGCTCTCTGTAGCCTCCTCTCATATATATCCATACTACTGTATTAACCAACACCATAACTCTCTTGTCTTGATCCATGTATATTCAACTTTGAAAATTGAGGGCTAAAAGAACGGGGGACGCGACCTGGGTGTGTGTATGTACATAAAGAATATACCATTTTTCTTCCTTCTTCTTCTTCTTCTTTTTTTTGTTTTGTTTTTCCAGTGTGCTTGTTCCAGTTTTCAATTGTACAAGTCTTTTGGGTTGAGTTCAGAGTCGTATGTTTTGAAGTTTGTATTTGCAAGTCATTTTTCTGCACACTTGATTTTTTGAGACAAACATTCAATGTTTTTAGTGGCATGTTGGCAGGATTTCTTTGTTGTGTGTGTGTGTGTCTCTCTCTCTCTTTCTTTCTTTCCAAAAAGAAAAAAAAAATAAGTGTATGATGTTCATAAGAATGCATGCATTCCTGAAGTTTACCAAAGTGGCAGAGAGATGCGAAGAGCTTGGCTGAAGAGAGATGTTGGAATTTTTTAAAACTAAAACGCATTTCTTGATCTAAGACATTTTCCAATGAGAAGCTAATTGTACCCCACCACACCCCCCCCCCCCCATATGTGCAAAGGCTGTTATACTGTATCAAGCCCTTGTATGATTTGAGCAAGTTGGATAGAGGCATGAATACAAAGAATTCCCACGACTGCACATGTGCAGCCGCGATACCAAAGCCACATTTTCCTAAAGCGGTTTTTGTGGGGTCCCCTTTCCCCGCTCTGCTTCCAGATGCACCTACGATTTTCAGGGGGCCCACCTACCCACAAGGGGGTCCTCCCCGACGCTGGCCCTTAAAGACGCCGCTGTTTGACTCTGGTTAAGCTGAGACCCGGCTGATTTATCCCTCCCCCCCAAAAAAAACCCCAACTCCAGCCGATTGGTGCTGGTTCTAGCATCTTAAGAGCATCCAGCCTGAAGCTTTGGTGAACGTGTTGGTGCAGTTCCAGGGCCGGGGACAGAGCTCTTTAAAATGGAATGCACTTGCTGTTAATTGCACCGTAACACCTGTGCTTCTCATGCTGTGGCATGCCAAACACA